GTCAGCTTCCTCGCGTCTCTTCCCGACCGTAGGGATTGGATCCCCAATTCTGCCCTCACGGCTGCATTACTTGTGCGCCTGGAGCATCCTAGGATGGTTTTCGCTGCTTTCATCTGCGCCGCCTCGAGTTCTTTCACTACCTTCTTATTTCCTTCCCATACTTCTCCGGCGTACTCTAGCGGCGGTACGATTACGCTCTTCAAAACCGTCAATTTGATGCGTATATCGAGGTGCCGGTTTGCGAGTATTGGATGCAGCTTCCCTGCTCGCGCTTTGCCCTTTTCCGCTACCTTGGACATGTGTGCATTCCACGAGCAGTCTTTTGCGATCTCTACTTCAAGGTATGTGTACTGGTCCACTACTGCAATACACCGGGGGGGGGGCTTGTTTTACAACGTCGTTGCCGGGCGACGAAAACCCAACCCCGATGGCAAACACCGGGGGGGGAGGCAGGGGGGGCGGAGTATTGATTGTGGATTACAGTATGCACGGTCCATGTGCAATACCCTCCCTCACCTTGAACAATGCAGTTCGAGGGAGCTCAGGCGTTGGCATTTCTTCTCCTGATATCGACATGGCGGAAGAATCAGACGACCAGAGCACCCGTGGCAAAGTGGTGGTAAGCACACGACATGTGTTGCGGCGAAAATAGTGTTCCTTCTGTGTGAAAAACTAACCCTATTTTCGAAAGCACTACTACCGACATTCTGAACTCCTGAAACAAACCGCACTGCACTGCTGTAATGTGCACATTGTCGGCGTTGGATGCAATGCCTTTCACGGACCGTATCCACGCTCATACCTTTGTGAATTTATTTTCAGATTCACGCCGCGTGGTGTGTTGGCGACAAACATTTAGGTAAGAAAAGGTTGTTTGCAGACACGAAATCAACCGAGGGAACGTGTAATATCGTGCGACTTCGGCCAACGATTACGCAGGGCCTTCAGCTTCGATTTGTTTTGTTGGCAAGATGTCATCCATGGAGGAAATAGAGGTGCAAGCATCGCCATTGCCCGGCGCCAAATCTGTGCCGAGCTCTGCGCCGAGCTGTTCGAGGAGACAAGTAATGTGTAAAAGTAAGTGTCTTTGCCTACGTATGCACGGAACACTATAGTCGGCTGGCTTTGGATCGCTTCCGTCGCCTTCTGACCCCTCTCTCTGTGACTGGTGCCGATACCACTCTTCGTGCAGGCTAAACATGATTATGCACATACAAACAAATCTGCAGAGGGACCGCACAAAGAAAGCAAGCAGCATCATGAGGCTCCTGCTTTCTGGTGCTTATATCTGCGTCCCTCGCATCCATCACCAACAAGAATACTAACAAGAGTCGTGGGTGTAATCTACATACCAAATAATTGGTCACAGAGATCGTACCGGGGTGAGATCAAAAACCCCAAGGAAAAACGAAGAAAAAAACACTAAAAAAAGAACAATCGCACCCGTAGCCATCTCTCCGACTACTACGGTACCTAACCCACTCAAAGTATGCGTAGACTGTAATATAACGTTCTCCACTGCTAAATAGTAGAACACGATGTGTCCCCCATATATTATTAAATACAGCTTGCGTGAAGTGGGCCATGAGACGCGGGGTGGGGGGGGTACCTAGGTGTGCGGGATGACTCTTTACGGGCACGCTTGTTTGTTTGCAGGTGTATTTACCACTCGTTTCTCTCTTTCATGTGGGCTGGAACCCACTACCCCCGCGGGAGCCTGTTGCTTGAGAGTTTTTTTTGTTGTGTCCAACCAGATGATGACGAGAGTTGTTATTATCGCATTAACTGGCGCCCGTGTAACACACCGAGGTAGCATCTCTTCCCTTTGTTCAAAGCTACTTCATCCGCCCATTTGTCTCGTGAAAGGAAACAAAAACTACTGCTGTATTTTTTACACTCGCGTGCCCGTGTTGCCTTTTGCTTCGCAGCGACTCTGCTGCTGCTGTGCTGCGCACAGCCTTTCCGCAACCGAACCAAACCATTCTAGCAGTGGTCTAGACTAGACATCAAATAAACCAAAACCAGTCAAAAGAGCACCATGACAAGAGTACGTACACAAGTCACCAGCCCTAAAGCATGGTACATATTTTGCTCACCTAGGTAGCTTCTTCTGCAAGTCGGATACTCTCCATCGCGAATCATGTATTCCCTCTTCGACCCATACAAACGAAGGAACGTTTTCCCGGCATTGAGGCCTTTGGTCACCACAACCTTCGCCCGCCCAGCTGCTCTGTCATAAGCAACGTCCATTTCGCGTATCCAAGGAGGATACCCCTTGGCCCGATCTACCATGTGCGATGTGACTTGCACGCGCGCGCTGAAGTGCTGCGGGAAGTGCGGTATAATCCCTGCGTCCATCAACAGACGATGCGACGGGTGAGAATCTTTGCGGCCTCGTGTGTTTCGGGATCCGGGTCTGTCATTCCGTGCACGGTGACGAAACTCACCAGCCGCGTCGCTGTGCCACCCCCGAGACGTCAGACCAACAATACATCCAAGTGCTTGCATCCATCGCATTTTCGTTGTGCAGGGTTGTGTACAGAATGTACACGCAGGGACGCCACAAGCCACCAGCAGACCAGCGGTATATGACAATAGTAACAAGTAATTGTCAATGTCATATACTATTGCTCCCGGCAGTGGGGATGATCGTGGGCCCATGATTGTGGTGAGAATGGGTTTCAGTCTAGTTCTCGAGGCGTTATTTTGGGCTCAGAGTAACTGTCAGACTATCTTCTGTTCAGGACCGTCGGTGAGTGTAGGGCACTGACGACTGTGTACACGACAGGACCGACTGGTTAAGTCAGCAGATACAATTAAGGGACCGCTGTAGCGTGCAGTGACGACCTAGGGCCAGTTCTCAGCAGGAAGTGCTGCGAATAATTACAAGTGCCACCATAGGCCCAAGTTGGACCAATCAGAGAGACAAGATAACATATGACATAGCTGACGTGTGTCGTTGTATAACGGATGACCTTTGAGGTAGGACCGTCCGGAAGCTTGGCTCCGTGAAGCCTCGCACACCAGATCACTCTTGCTCNATTACAAGTGCCACCATAGGCCCAAGTTGGACCAATCAGAGAGACAAGATAACATATGACATAGCTGACGTGTGTCGTTGTATAACGGATGACCTTTGAGGTAGGACCGTCCGGAAGCTTGGCTCCGTGAAGCCTCGCACACCAGATCACTCTTGCTCCCTACCCTCAGTTCGCCGTACAGAACTGTGAGCAGAACAAGCTTGAGTCAACCAAGAGGCGAACTGCTGAGGCAGAGCACACATACAAACCACGCTTGAACGCAAGTGCATCGCACGTCCTAGCTAGAACCTGCAGAACTAAAGAGGCGGTATCAGTTCTCCCCTCATCGTGTGGGGTTTCGTGGTGGACACCGTGGCGTATTTTCTCATCCCGTAGAGGAAACCGAAACGGCCGCAGGACCCCACGTATCGACATACCGACGTACCGACGCGACGAGAGCGCGAACACAAGAACTCATGCAACGACGATATAGTGGCACATGCCATACCGGGAAGTACGCCGATCGATTTCCGCTCTCCCTTCTACCAAAGCGGCGAGGTCATTGGCGACGAGGTACACCAATCGACCGCTCCTCTCCCTGCTACCAGACAGAGCGGCGGGGCTACACTGCTGGCGACGATACTGTTAATTGACAGACGTTGACGCGGGAGGGGGTGGGTCTCCATCACCAGCCCGTGCCAGGAAAGGTGACAACGATAACCTGTTAATTGGACACGGGAGTGGGATCTCCATCATCAGCTTGGAAAGTTGTCAAGAATGAGCGACAATGACGCGTTTATGGAAGATTATGGGGACTCATTGAACGACGCGGGCGATCCTTATGAACCAAAAACCACCCGAAACGCAGCAGAGGCGCTGGACGCGTCCCTGCAAGCACCCAATGCAAACGACTTCTCGAATGCTCGCCTCATCGAGGAGGTGAGGAGGAATTACGTCAGTTACCGTAGCGGCGACAATACTGTTCAGATACCACGACCGTGGTTTGCGGCTACAGCGGAACTGCTACACACAAAGGTCTTGAAATATTTGTTCCGATCAAGCATGACAAGCAAAATCGAAAAACTGCACTCAGATGCACCTATAGTAGTCACTTTTAGGTCTATATCCGATGTTGAACCTAGAGTTCCTCACATGGAATGTGTCACAAATCGTGGCCGACCCAACACTGACCCTCACGCACAGCCATTGCACGGCCTAGCAGCCACGAACTGAGCGACCGCGCGACTGCGCCGCGTTCTCGGAATGCGGCAAGAGGGCGCTGGAGAGGAATGGACCGCTAGAATGCCAAACAACGCCCGACCAACCAGAAGGCGTTAGTCCCAAAGAGTTGCTACACACTTAGACTAAGCAACGTGTTAAAACTACTAAAATCACGTAAAAGTTGAGTGTTTTCAACCGCCACTGAACACAACAACGGGGTCGTAATTGCTGTATTGTTTGTGTGCCCACATGGTGCATGCATGCCCTACAACAGCTGGAGAACAGGAACTCGCGAGTAAGCGGATTTCGAGATCAAGATGTGGTCACTCTTCAAAAAATCCTGGACGCAGAATTCGAGCTGGAAAAGGAAAGCATTATCAAACACCAGCGAGAGAAGAGAGAACAAGCCGCCAAACAAGCTGGTCTGCAACGGAAGCGCATGATGCTAGAGAGGCAGCTACGAGAAGAGATATCTGAGATAGGAAAAGACCAAAGAATTGAGTTTTGGCTGCACCTGGTGAGTTTCGTGTTCGTTCGCACGTGAGAGTTACTTGTGGCAACGCCGTGTCAATGTCATTTTACCGTTTTGGCTGGAAAGCGGTTCGTTTGGAGTACGAAGAAATTGCCGGCGTCGCGCCCCACCGTATCAGTTTTGCGCGCAACGCTTAGCCAGCTTTCAGCCCTCCCTGCCCAACCCCCCTAATCGGGTTTTCGTCGCTGGCAACGACGTTGTAAAACAAGCCCCTCCCTCGGTGTTTGCTATCGAGATTGGGTTTTCGTCGCTTGGAAACGACGCTGTAAAACAGCCAATTCACTTCGTGAACTCGGCAACCAGGTCACCGTTTGTTTTACCTCTGTTGTTTTTTTGGCGGTAACCAGAATGGTAGTCAAGTAGATCATGTTGTGCGGGGTGGAGAACCCTCACTACGCGCAAGGGGGATGATCGCACCACGTTGTCTTAAAATGGTCAAGCACCCTCGAGGCAGTTACACCT